CCTGGAGGGGCGTGATTGGGAGGAACGGCCCCCCCGATCTGAACCCGAGTGGTGTTTTGTTATTGGACTTCTGTGCTAGCCACAGTTTGTCCATAATGAACACCATGTTCAAGCATAAGGGTGTCCATCAGTGCACATGGCACCAGGACACCCTAGGCCGGAGGTCGATGATCGACTTTGTGGTTGTTTCATCTGACCTCCGGCCGTATGTCTTGGACACTCGGGTGAAGAGAGGGGCGGAGCTGTCAACTGATCACCACCTGGTGGTGAGCTGGATCCGATGGCGGGGGAGGAAGCTGGACAGACTCAGCAGACCCAAGTGTATTGTGAGGGTCTGTTGGGAACGTTTAGCAGAATCCCCTGTCAGACAGATCTTCAACTCCCGCCTCCGGCAGAGCTTTAACCAGATCCCGGGGGAGGCTGGAGAACCACTGGTACTTCAATCAAAATAATAAAATACAACAAAATTGAAACTATGTCCAAACTTAGTGTACAATGTACTGCTCCGCAGCAAATATTTCTTAGTTGTTGCATAATTTGTCTATGGAGTACATATACTGTATTTGCTTGCCTTGGAACATATAATTTCACAACAAAATGTTCTAAAAGATGTGAGTTGTCTTCAGTTTTTGGATTCCAGCCTTGTTGTCTAGCCTCCTCTGAGCACTCTTCCAATGTATTGCTCAATCCCTTCTTTTCTCAGAGTGAGGTTCATGAGCTTGCATGAAATCCCAACTATCTCAGCTATCAGAGACAGTGATTTATCACAGAACTACTGCCAGTCTGCAGATAAACAACAACATATAAGCTTAAGCAGTAAGTTGTCTAGTGGTGCATTACTGTGAGGACCAGTTTGAGTTTTATACAATGGAAATGAAGACATTCTGGGATTGTGAAGATACCGTGACCTGCTCTTGCCTTCTGACACACCTTGGTTCTAGGGTTTAGGTTAGAATTAGATTTAGGTACGGGTTAGACATTTAATTGTCATGCTTAAGGGGCTAGGGAATGCATTATATCAATGAGCATCCACATAGATAGCTGTACAAATGTGTGCATGTGTGAATGCATGGCATGCAAACACGCATACAGTATGTTTCAACTCTCAAGGGAAATATATTGCAGACTCATACAGAAGATGACTTTTCATTATTGTGATTACTTAGGAAGATGAGCCTTCTCAGTTTATTAGGTTTGATGGTTATTAGGTACAGTGAAGAGAAACAGGAGTATAACTAGAACAGTAGCATTGGATCATTATCCTCAGGGCCTTGAGCCTCCTAGTTTTTACCCTTGTCACATAATCAGGAACTGATTTACACCTGAAAACACGGGGGATCACAATTAACTACAATTAGCTAGCTATTGGTAGAGAAATCAGCAGTACTGTGGGTGGACAACCAGATTTAAAGCCACTGGCCTGGACAAAATTGTAATAAAGTGAGCAAGCAGCATGTCAGGTTGTTATATTGCTGAAGTCTAAACACAGCACATGACCCTGACATAAGCAAGTGAACTGAGAGTAAAACCACACCAGAAGTGATATATTTGCATGAAGTCTGGCCGCTGCTAAAATTGTTTGCTTCTGGGCATTTATGGAGAAATCAGCACTGACTAAGAAATAAATCATCCTAATGGACTGGATATTACAGCTTGCATGTTTTTCCATTCAAGTATGACCCGAATATATCACTTACAGTACTGCACTGTTTGTTTTGTTACGCATAGCATTGGTATTAGTTCTAGGCCTTTTTTACAGCAGGCAAAGAAGTGAGATTAATAATGCTAATAATCACAGTAATGATGACTGGAACATTAAACTATATACCATGCACACATACTAGGCACAATAACACTGTTAGCCTATACCTAAATGGAAAGGAGCTGTTGTTAATGGCATTAATTTTATGTTTACTTGACTGATATGATCTAATTAGTGATTTTGATTAGATTATAAGTAAAGGTAATGCTAAAGGAGCTGCTCATGGGCCGGTCTGTACACACACACGCACAACTATAAGTTTCCCTTTGCATTTTAGCATCTTTTAGCTCACTGTTTTGGTTTTATAGCAAATGTTTAGTATTTTGTCCACTCAGTCTTTTTATGATCCTTGAAGACAACTGTTTTCAGCAAAAAGGTTTTGATATACCCATGGCAAGATACCTGCAAAGTACCAAACAGGATTGAAAGTTAGCTAAAATTAAATTAATTTAATTTAATTAAGCCTTTGCTAGCAGTCAGGTCAGTTAGCTTTGTATAAAGATTGAAAACATGGGGGCAGCTACCTTGACTCCAACCCGACTGACCGACTCACTGACTGAGCACTGCCACTGTTTAGTCTAAAATGGACTGATCCTATTTCCCCACTGGCGACACAGAGACTCTGGCAGAGTTTTGACAGTCACTACAACCATGTTTCAGCCCTTTAAGGGAGTCACTGTGTAGGTACCTCTGTTGTAGCTAAGCAAGTAGTGCTCATTCCCCAGAGACATCTAGTATCTGTGTCAGTGTCATAGAATGTAGCCACAGCCCCTGTAGCCATATTTCAATTTGAGCAGAAGAAGACATTTTTACATGGAATCAAAATTTTGCTGGAAAAAATAAACTCCATCAGATATCAATAAAATGGTATGATTTAAAAATAAAAAACAAAAACACTATTTCATGACCAATAGCAGTACTTTCTTAGAATCTTTTCATCGCTGTTGCCAGTCTTCAGTTGACATGGCAAATATCATTTAGCCTAACCAGTCACTCAAACCAGCAAACTTTATAGTTTAAAACTTTGTAATTCAGGTGTACTAAATGTGTGTTTATGTTATACATGTTTTAATCATCACATTTTATACATGTGTATACTTCTGCAAATCAAATTAATTTAAAGGACAATCTTTCAAATGAACAGAAATCAAATTTCCTGTGTTCATGCATGATTGGCTTTGAACACTGATATACTGCGATACAAACAGTTTATGCTGTAACCTGTGTAATTGGTCTTCGTACACATAGATTTTTTAATAAAACTGTAATTACTGAGCAAAACCCCAGTTGTCCCATTGCATGCACTTGGGCTGTCACTTTAATGGATTAGATGATTAATCACATGAACAGTTGCTCTTTTTTAAATACATCATTAATGCATTCTTGTGCCTCGGGGACTGTATATATCTCCTCTTTCCCACATTTTGTATTTGGTGTAGGTATAAACTTTATATGTGGTTTCTGGACTCTCGTTAAGCAGGAGAACCACCAATTTGTGGTGTATTTTTTGTATTTGTGTGTGTTGTGGGATGACTCTGAGGCCAGCTCTATAGGAGTCAAATCTGAAAAAGGGTCAGGTGATGTTGTAACTCACCCTGGTTCACCTCCGACTGCACGGAAAGCAGGGTAATAAATTCAGAGTCAGGGACCTCTGACAGCTTCCTGTTGCTCTTCTACCTGTACCTGTTGTCATTAACTATTTTATCCTCAGCAACCCTAGTCTGTTCATCCCTTTCTCTCAGAGGAAAATTGTTTTCCTATGACTCTCTCAAGCTCTGCTTCTTTCTTTATTTTACCTAATTTCCAGGCCCTAACAGTCAGTCTTTCCCTCTTCACAATGTCATCCTACTTTCTGCCTCCCTTTGTTCATCACTTTCACAGTGAGGTGCAGGGAGTACAGCTGGACATTAATCTGCCACTGATGAGCCCCACTCACTAGACAGCTCATGGCTGCTTATCGGGCATTTGGTAAGATTACAGTAGGCCAGTCACTGGACCCACATTTTAGGCAGAATACGATGAAAAGACATTGGGTACAAACAATACTATTCCAATGCCTCTATAAAGACTGAAAGCCCCTTCACACTGAACAAAATAACTGAAATGGCAACATTTTTAAGTGTAAAGTATAATGATACCTAAGATAAAATCCTCAAAAATGAAGCATCACTGCAGTAACTGGCTTCTTTCTTATAAAATTATTTGGATCTTTTTATCATTTTATTGTCTCGTTGTTCAAAAATTTCATTGCGGTCAAACTAAATCAAAGGTGACAGTTCACAGCCGCATTATTTTATGTTTATATAGTTATTGTATAGATGCACTACTAAGCATGTAGAGAAGGTTTAATTTTCACATTGCTTTCTTGATGTGCATTGTTAGATATCTTCAGAGTAGAACATATTGATTGAGCTCCATGGTAACACGCGATCAGCAGATCCCATAAGGATAAATGTCACATAGTGCACGCAGATGATCTTTTCATCCTTGTTTTCTACCGCCTTCCATCCATCCTTGGTTGCACATGCATCTCTCTTTTGCTGAAGTCTCATCTCAGCACTTAACCTCCAATTTGCATAAGTCATTATGCCTGTCAGATCTGAGGAGGCTATAAATTCTGCTAAGTGTTCATCCATCGTTGTAAGTTTAAAAATGCCCAACCAATTTTTACATTTCTTTGACTAATGGAGACAGAAAGAGCATTCATCACCGAAACATCATTAATACATTTGATGAGCCAAGCAGTTTCAGTTTAATTCATTTGGACATACAGTACCTGACTGGTGTGGGGAATTTTCCTTATACAGGTCACATGTTGTGTCAGTAAGTCATTCTGACATTTTTCACAATGGTCCCTCGGGTCAGTTGAATCTAGCATAGAAATATTTCTTTAAACCCACACAGATAACAATACTTCTCCTTCTGCCATCAATAACAGCCAATGTTTGTTTTGCCAAATCGGAAGCAAGGTTATCTCTCCTGCTCCATCAATAAACGGAGACCGAAACAATACTGGGGTCTCACAATGAAAATAGGAAGCTCAATGGAAGCGCTGCAGTCTTTTTAGAAAAACAGATTTTTTTCTCCAGTGCTCCTGACAAATGCTGAAGTTAAGTGTCTGCACACAGCTGGGGCTGCGGAGACCAGAGTGTGGTTCTCAGTGTGTGTGTGTGTGTGTGCACTAGACATGTTGTCATTGATGCCGCATCAAAGAGCTGAGTTGGTCATCGACCGCGCACTGAAAACAGCAAAGACAGAGTGGAAGTGTCCCTTTTAATGATAAAACGCAGGTGAAGCAATGCTGGAAGAACCTGGAGAAGATGAAGATTTCTACTGACTGCACTAATGGAAGAAGACTTCGCCACAGCAGTACAACTGGATGAAAACTTCAGCCTCTCCACAGAAAATACAATGACAGACTTCCACAACAGAAACTAAATACAGATGTCATTGCTTGAGCAACTCTAGTAAAATTGCTCAAATTTCATGGAAACTGAACTATTCATTGAAACTTTGGTTTTTCAGCTGAACTGGAAAAATAACAGCAAAGGTGGGCATATAAACATATGCATCCCTATTTGTATCCCTGCCTCAACAACACGCTCCAAAGAATTGTCGCAAGGGACAGAACTTTTCTAGTTGGTGTTTACTCCTAAAAGTACCACCATGTAGTTTGAACTGCTGTTATACCCGTGCACGTAAGCCAAATAAATTGGACATATTGTCATTTGCATAATTAAGGTGCGTTCAGTACACAGCTCAGGAACGAAGAGTGTGGGAGGTTTCACTTACTCCTCATCCTCACCACTAGTACTTTCTGCACCAAGAAATCCTACAAGCAGGTCTTACCAAAATCTCCAAGCTCAGTGACATAAAGTGCATCTCTCCACTTGGCTCACTCAACACTTCCATAATAAGCGTCATTATCTTCAGCACACATTTTCTGCTTCATTTGAGCCATTCTTAACAAGGAGCGTCTATCAGGGGGGTGCTATTGTTCTGCGTTCACTCTGACCAACTCTGATTTATTCTTCACCATCTCCTCAGCTCTGTCTTTTGCTCTCGCTGCAGGACAAAACACACCACTGTGAACCTTTTAAATTATGAAGGCAATTTAAAACTTCAGTCCTCAGTAGTTGTTGCACTCCATTTTTTTAAACTGGAGATGGGGGATATGGGTAAATAGGGGCAGTTTAGCTCAAAGTGTACTATTCTGCATATACTATTAATAACATGGCCACTTTGACGAATCTTCTCATCTTCATACAGCAACAAATTGTAGTCTTGCACTGAATGTAGGCTACAGTATGTGTGCATGCGTGTGTGAGATGAGACTGGTGAAGCTGTGAGGTGCACACTGCATCCTTATTTTGATGGTGTCCTCTGCTCCTGTGACTCGGTGAAGCAGCAGGACAATGAGAGATGAGGGTGTGGAGGCACAGCTAGATGCGCCTGGACAAACACAAGGACGCCGCTACCTCCAACAACACTGTATTAAGCCAATTATTCACTATCATGGATTGTTTTCTGTGACAGTGAATGTTTTGTTTATTTCGCTCGAAAAAATTTAGCAAATAGGATGTCATCTACAGTGCAGGCAGTGGAGATTGTAAACATGTTTTTCTCTCCTCTCCCTACAAGCAGATAAATAAGAAGTCCCTCTCTAGGGCTCTGCATTGCGCCAAGAAGCCCGGTGCAAAAAGCCTTTAGTTAGCAGAGTACTCCTTCATTTCCTGGCCAAACTCCCATTCAACAATCATATTCTCTAAATATAAATAAAACAATCACTGCCAATCAAACAGGGTTCATTATCTTTCAGATAATTTGTGTTGCTTCTCAAATGTGCCATTAAATCTTCCAGTAACCCTCTTAGTGTACAGCCACACCCAGACACTTAAAATACATGTAAGGTCATATACAAAACATACAATAAATAGTTTTCTCTGAGGCGTCTTTTAATCCCTGGTCATACAAAGTACAGTTGTATTTTTCTTAATCACAGTTTGGGAGATTTTAGTCAGTTCTCCAAGACTTTAGAAAAGTTGGAGCTCTCCAAACTGGCAATCATCTGGGTATGTGGGGGCAGACAGACAAAAATTGCAAAGTCCTGTATGCTTACAACATAACACAGTACGATGATAAATCACTAAAATGTCTTAATCTCCATGGACACTGTTTAATTAAATTTTAAGTGACAACACCTAGGCATGATCTAGAGCCACAAACCTGTTTTCATATATCTGCAGTATTTTGGATGAAAATATGATGATACCAGTCAAACTGACTTACTTTGGAATTGAGATACATTTTAATGAATAATTAAATAATTTCTAGTGAAACCGTGGGACATTTAACTGGCACTGAGCTGGTTTAGCACATTCCAAAAATAACTTGTAAAAAGTGATTTCTTTTGTCCCTGAATGACAACCTATTTATTGTGTGTGTGTGTTGTTTAAAAAATACTGATTGCTGTGTTGTTTCCATCTAGCTTGGCGCGATATCCCACTCCCAGTCTCATCAAAATCACTCCATCACAGCTGATGGAAGTAAAAACCTTTTCCCCACACAGGATGAAGGGAGGGAGCTTGTCTACACAAAAAGCATTTTCACACTGCACTACCAATCTCCAACATTATTGCCCTGGCCAAGGTCAATTCTGCTCAAACAGCAAAGCCCAAGATGATGTAGTGAACTGATACCCCCAGGTCAACCTGGTATATTCCTTCTTGGTATCGAGTGGTGTAAACAGCCTCTGAGCTTCAACATCCACAATTTTATGGTTTTCAAGGTTACAGCTGGGCGTGGATTTTTCAAGGTGTAAAAAAGCACAGCGGATGCTTCTAAATGCCCTTATCTCCCCATTCACAGTCAGCCCCAGATGTCCTGTAAGTAGCGTTTCTCTTCTCTCAGTCCTGCCAGTCTCTTCATGGCCTCCAGCTGGTCCACCTGAAGCTCTTTCTTGATCATCTCCACCAGGGCGTCATTCACGTCTTTAGCCATGTTCTTAGCATCCCTGCAGAAGGTAGAAATAGCATGAATATATATATTATGGAAAAGGATAATTAAATCAATAAGCATTTTTTTCAGGCAGTGCTACGTGTGGCGAAGCCGATATTTTCTAAAGCCAGCGAGTGCTGTCAGTCCAAGAGTGCATCCTGAAAAGAAATTGCTGAAATCTCTATCTTGCTGTTGCAGCATATTGGAGGAGATTTATCATCTGGCAGTGATATTTTTGGAATGTGAAAAATTCACTCAGTTTTGATATTTCAAAAGTCATTTATTCTGTGGTGAGGTAAGCAGCTTGATGGTGACAAGAAAGGAGAAATGCTAGACAAAGGATGTGATGCTGAGCTGTACATTTGTTGATATGACCTGGTATATTCCTATGTGTGTTATCATCTTGGTGCTAGTAGAAACAATGTGCTGTGATGTGGAAAGAGGAAAAGGAAGGGATGTATACAGTACAAGTGCTACAGACCAGGGCTAGCTTTAGGCTTAAGGCACCTAGGTCACCACCACCTGGAGAGGCTCCAAAAAGGAGGAAATACTTGTAATAGCTCCTGGTTTACTGTTAAAAGTCTGTCACTAAAGTCTAATTTGCCCTTTTCATTGTTAAATAAATAAATCCAGATGTTTGCCCCTAGAATATCAGCTGACAGAATTGCCCAGTGTTCTCCATTAAAGTGCTGAAGGCTTTGAGAGTGAGTGACCCGCTCAATTTCAGTTACGTAACAGAGGCAGTGAATGAAGCCAGCAAGCCAGTGTTTTGCATCTGTTTCAGTGACATTTAGCAAGTTAACACACCTTTACAGTGCTGTTGTTAGTTTGGCATTTTGTTAAGGTTAATGAGTGCCTGTCTAAAGCTTGTCCAGACTTTCCTGCTAAAAAAAGATTCACAATGGCATCCTCTTTCCTGGTGTAGATCTAACGTGTGCACTGAAAGTTATATACTGAGATTAGAACAGACTTAAAATGTTCAGGACAGCCATAAGTCAAATACCTAATCCTCATGTAGAGGTATCAAAGACTCTGAGCAACAGTAACCTGATAACGTTAGAATCATTGGAAAAATGAATAATCAGGTTATGTTCTATATCAACATATACATATGATACAACAGATTGTACCACATGATGCTGCCCCCGCCACCATGATTCACCATAAGGATGGTATTAGCAGGTGATGAGCAGTGCCTGGTGTTCACCAGACACAGTGCTTGGAGTTGTTCCAAAAAGTTAACATAAGGATAAATATAAAGCTGGATAGACTAGAGCAAATGTCAAAATGTTTACAACAGAATTATTGTCATCGGTGTTAGCCTTACCCACAGACATAAAGGTAACCGTTCTGTTTGAACAGAATGTCAGTGATGTGTTGTCTGTTGAGCTGCAGGTTGTGCTGGACATATCTGGGCCATACAGCTGAGGTAGCAGCTTCCTCCTCCTCCTGGGCATCTCTGGAGAAGCACACCTTGAGTTGGTTCAGGGTACCGTTGGATACAAAGCCCTCCAGCTCCTCTCTGGCAAAAGCAGAAGGTATGCAGAGACACATCCAAACATTTCAGGTCACTGTAAATTAAATTTTCCACAATATTTTAAAGATGGCTGATTTGTGGAAATGGCTGTTTCCAAAGCTGGAATCGTGAGAGCCAAGGTGTGATGTGGAGCAATGATTATGAATAATGAATGGGATAATTTGCTCTCCATGGGAAAATTACACACATTTTTTTTAGCATAATCAATAAATACACAAAGAAGATCCTATCCTAATAATGCTAAGTATTTCACAACAATTTTATACTGTTTATCCTTTCACATCCAACATTCCCTTAAGATATTTTGCAATAGCTTCGACTGCCTCAGAAAACATAACTCCCAGAACATTTCCAACGAACAAAAAAACACCTGTCAAGCTCAATAAAACAGAACAGTGATGGGCAAAGGTCTGAGAAAAACTGTGCCAGACAACCAATTTATCTTGTTTAAAGAGAAAAGTGCACAAAAATATGAATTTCTTAAGCAAGGTCGAGTCACTGGTATAAGCATATTTTTACAATCAATCGTTCCAGCCTTGCAGTTGAGTGTAACCTTGCTTCCTGTCGGTGGTTTGCTTGCCAACTACTCCTTCTTCTGCC